AGTATTCCATTTAGAAATTTCAATAGATTTTGTAGTACACTTCATAATGAATTGTACACTTAAATTAGGAAACTTCTATTGGAAGTTTATTTAGCAAGTTATATTCAGAAAGAACTAAATATACATTCACATTAATAAGAAAAAAACATAGGTATTTATGTATTTATATAATACATACAGATGAAAAGCAAAATATTGTATTACTAAATATAGTCACCATGCTATACTTTCAATCTCCAGAATTTATTTTTGACTACCATATATAACATACATGTATCCTTTATACATAGACATGTGCAATAGAATAATATTTAACCTTTAAAAAGAAGCCTTCCCAACTTCTTAATTATAACAACATGGATGAACATTGTAGACTTCCACACTAAGAAATAATAATTACATGAATTTATCAGTTACAAATGATGTTTTGATATCACTATGTTAAGAGAACTATTTTGAATATAAATTTTTGCATTGGATTTCACCATATATAATTTTCTAATACGTGCAAGTAAGATTTTTGCTGGCTCATGAGTTATCACATGTATCAGTTTCTTCAACATTAAGTTCAAAATATATTCTGACTAAAACTCTGATTTATTTCCCTTACTGGTTGTTGAGAAATACATTACTTAATTGTCAAGGCTATAGGAATTTTCTGAGGACATCTATACCCTTAATATTCTAATGTATTTTATATCACAGAAGAAAATAAATCCAGATTATGTTGTAGGTCCCATCTGAGATAGCAAAGCAAGTTCTTTTACCTCATTCAGATAAGTGGAAAAATATGAGTCATTCTCTGAACTCAGATGGAAGGACACAGAGCATGGTACCTAAGCTTATAGAAATTATCTTTAAGTGATAGTGTAACCCACAGAATTTGATCACATTAGAAGTTTCTTCTAAATGAGAGACATATTTGTGCACATTTTGCCACTTGGCAATAAGAAAGACACAATGATTAGACATGCTCTTTATCTTAAAAGTAATGCATATTCCATTTGAAGTTGCTGAATTTAATACATTTCTTAGGTAAATTGAAAATTGCTGGCATTTAGTGAGCCCATCACATAATAAAGATCTTTAAGTGATGGAGATAGATAAGTCTGTGGCCCTGCATCAGAGACTTTGTAACATAGAAGATGAATGTGAATTTAAACATATGATGATGAGGCTCAATGGAGTCAATGACAAGCTGAGTTTAAGGAATAATACTGAAAGCCCTTAAGCACTGTTCACTCTTTGTAAAAATAACTGTCTTTTTCTTGTAGACAAGTATCATTTAACTAATATTGGGTTGATATTAATGGATTGAATAAACAAAATGAAGATCATTATAGTGCATATCACACAGATTCAAGTCTTGATTCAAAGCCTCCACTCATACTAAAGTGCAGAATTATGCCTTACTATCTTTTAAGAATTACATGAACTACAATAGCCACTCAAGTTCCAAGATCTCTGTCTCTGAGCCTCAGATCTTTTTAGACTGAGTTTTTCTCACACTTAAGCTATCTTTTGCTGTGGTCTGGTTAGGTAAGGGGCCTGGGACTACTTCCTCCCACAAGCTGATTTAAATATTGCTTGCCTTACCAAAATATTTACTAATATGCAGCAGTTTATTTATCATTTTTCTTTGAAAGTTAATACATTATAGTATTATATATCACTTGGTACTCAGCTACTCATTTTTGGCAAGATCCAAGTCTGTTATCTCTAGGGACTGTTCAAGATTCATTTGAATTTGTTCCAAACATTCTCACAAACTAATCTATTAAAATAGTGATGATGCAAAAAAGCCACAGACAACATCTGCATATAATATATATATATGTATATATATGAATTATTGCCTGTTAAAAATGACCGAATTGGGTTTTGGATACTCAAATTCTTCCAAGCTGGAGTAGCTATTTACTGTTATTTAGTTCTCAAAGTATTACATTTTCTTATTGCATTCATCATTGTCTACAAGTGTTTGTGAAAAGTCTCCATTTCATGGAATAAGTTTGGAGGGGTAGCTTGAGATAGTTTTAAGTAGGAAGCAAGGGGTCTTGGGAAGATGCCATTTGAATGACTGAAAGAATGAAGAGTTCTGCTTCTACTTTTGAGAAACTCCATCACCAGCTTTTCCAGGAAGTTTAATTCTAGCCTTTTCTGGACAGGTACATGACTTACTATCTAGGCAAATGAAAGATAGTTCAGATCATTAAAGTGAAGCCCCTCTTCATTTGCTTCACCTCAATCCACTGGAAAGAGAAAAAAATCACATAACTAAGATTAGGATTAAGTTTTTGTTTATTTGTGTCACTAAATATTGGCTTTGCCAAATTTATTTCCATTAATTAGATCAATTCTGACATAGTTGTTCAACACAGCATGTTTGTTTTTCTATGAAGCCATCATACCAGCAGGTGAGAAAATTCAACTACCTTAGACAGTAGGTATTGACGTTGTATTTGAATGTCTTTATATTTTAGAACTTTACTTGATACTTTACACATCTGTGAAAAATGGATATAATGACAAGCTGTGTGGAATTATGTTTATTGTAGCCACTTGCTAATGTTTCTAGATCCACCAAACATTATCATGCTTTCTTTGAGGCTCAGAGGTACATGAATTATCTGCAGTCACCCTCAGTAAGAGAATCTTTGGTTGTCTGTAACAAGAACAAGACTCTAAGCATTGAGTTTGTGAAACACTGACAATGGATAATAATTGAGTATTCTTGTGATATACTGAAATATAGCTAATGTTTTACACTATATAGTCTCATAGAAGGGATCTGAATTGGGAACATTAAGGTAGCAACACACAGACATTCATTAATCAGGATATAAACATCATACTATGTCATAATGTTACAGCCTAATCAGTGTTTGCTTTACATTTTGCAAAATAACAAGCAATACATGTAATATGTCTATACATATAATAAGACAATGGATTTATTACTTTAGCTTATAGAATATTATATTTTACATACTATGTTAACTAGGAAATATAATTATTTTAGATATATTTGAACTAGGGGATTTAAAACTTCATATCATTCCAAGTGTTTAGAGGATAAGGGAACAAATGTCTATTATTTTCTGAATGTTTGATATGGGATTTATGTGTGTACCATAAAATTATCTCAGGAAACATACTGGTATGTGTACATATAAAAAGTCTTGATCAGGGAAGTATTTCCTTTAGATTTATTAATTTGTTATTTTAAAGAACCATATAGGATTTTTTTTAATTATAGAAGTATCTTTTTAAAAAGCTATGTTCTTGCAAACTATTAAATTATACTTTCCTGGAAAAATATGAACATGATGATTTTAATTTGGAATAGTCATATTATTTTTCACTTTGTATGGTACCAAATTTTGATAAAACCTCATATACTTTACATAAGTTTAAATGTAATGTCCTTTAAGCATTCTGTTTTTATTCTATTATGCACATTATTAATATGTCTAATAGAATATTTCACCTGGTTCAATTCAGCAGTAACAACTAATGAGAATAAATGCACAAAAACAAAATGTGAAAGACATAGACCTGGAATGAACTACTTTATACATGTATTTTCTATGGCTGATATGCCTTTATTGGTCTGTAGCCTAAGAGTGACAAATTCAGATCTTTTGAATCAGATGGTATCAATTTTGTAAACAAGACCTGTTGGAGGCTCAATGCTGCCGGCTTCCAAAGAAACCTCACACTCTCCCTGAACCTAGCCTTCTCCACCACTAAATCCATGTTAATGGGATTTTCTTGTTTTCTTCTTGTTAAAATACAATCATTCACAGGTAAACATTGCTTGTGCTTTTATATAATAAAATAGGTAATTCCTAAGGCAGAAAACAAACATTACAAAGGATTCGGGTAAAGATATAGAATTCCTTATATCCTTGTCTAGGTCAACAATTCTTATTAAATTGACAAATATCCTCATGATTTCCTCTCACAATGAACACTGATAACAGCTATCATCATTCATATTTTACCAGGTGACAAGCAGTGCTCTAGGCACCTTGATGTAACAACAACAAAAACATAAACATAGATTCTATGGGTATCCCAGCTCCAATGACTGCAAGATCCACCACTATGCTACTCTTTTGCTCATATGATTTATTTGATCCTATGAAGGTCAAAACTGAATGACAAATTTAGACTCCTTACTTTGGTCACAGTAGTTATCACATATAGGTTTCCACTGATTAACATTTTAAGAAACAACGATAAGCTTGTTTGATTTTACAATTATGAAGAAAGAAAAAACATAAACATTAGATAAATGTGTGGCTGGTGAATAGCATTGCAGGTATTCATATTAGAAAAGATTATGAAATCAACTAGTTTAATGACTTTATTTTTCTAAGTACAAACTGAGACATATTTGTCACCAAATTTAGAAAATAACTCAAACCTATAACTTCTAAGCAAGTATGGACTTGATTTTGTGAATGTTTGGAATCTAGACACTGAAGTTCTATTTTTAGCACTCTCAGGACCTAGAAAGTATTATATCCCACTCTTCTTCACTTCTCTCATTAGATTCTATTATCTCCACTCTTCCTATTTAGGGTTTATTAACCCACTGCATTACGGATTTCATAAAGGGAGAAATACTTTATGTCTTTCTGACATCTGTACCAAGAAATAAGCTATTTGAACTATGTCACTTTAAATCAGTTAATGAGTGTGTTATCTCTGTCTAGTCTTCTCTGTAGAGATTCGCTGACCTTGAGATGCACCCTTGTAATTGTAGCTTAACAAGACAATCTGAGAGGAAGTAGAATTACCCACAAAAGATCTATGGGATTATTGGAAAGGAACTAAATACAGGATAACTAAACGTTTGTTGTGAGTTTGCCATGCAGGAGACGTAATGAAGATGTGATTCATGATAGACAGGATACATGGTCCTGTTCAAAAATTAATAACTGATCCTGTCCTTCACTCTAATCTGGTAATCAAGTCTTCCAGAAGAGTTAATGGGATATAGTAACAATGTCACAGAATTTTTCCTCCTGGGCCTTACTCAGGATCCTGACGGGAAAAAAGCATTATTCATCCTGTTTTTACTCAGCTACATTGTGACGATGATGGGCAACCTGCTCATTGTGGTGACTGTCATTGCCAGCCCCTCTTTGGGCTCCCCAATGTACTTCTTCCTTGTCAATCTGTCACTCATGGATGCTGTGTATTCCACTGCCATTTCTCCCAAGGTGATCAGAGATTTACTCTATGAGAAAAACACTATTTCTTTTCCAGCCTGCATGGGCCAACTCTTCATGGAGCACTTTCTTGGTGGAGCTGAGGTGTTCCTTCTGGCGGTGATGGCCTATGATCGCTATGTGGCCATCTGTAAGCCACTGCACTATTTGACAATCATGAATCGACAGATTTCTATCCTTCTATTGGTGGTGGCCTGGGTTGGAGGTTTTGCCCACTCTGTTGTTCAACTTGTCTTTGTGTACAATCTCCCTTTCTGTGGCCCCAATGTTATTGACCACTTCATCTGTGATATGTACCCATTGTTGAAACTTTCATGCACTGACACCTACTTCATAGGCATCTCTGTGGTTGCCAATGGTGGAGCAATCTGTATGGTGGTCTTTATCCTTCTCCTAATCTCCTATGGAATCATCCTAAACTCTCTTAAGACTCAGAGTCAGGAAGGGAGATTCAAAGCCCTGTCAACCTGCAGCTCACACATCACAGTAGTTGTCCTATTTTTTGTTCCCTGTATTTTTATGTATGTTAGACCTGTTTCCAACTTTCCTATTGATAAATCTGTGACTGTTTTTTACACAGTTATTACTCCTATATTGAATCCTTTAATATACACCTTGAGAAGTTCAGAGATGAAAAATTGTATGGAAAAACTCTGGTGTAAAATATTACCCACAGATCGAATAAGAACGTCTTCATGTTGAACAAGATACTAATTGTAAGACAACAAAAAAGCAGTAATTGTAACAAAGTACAAAATAATCTATTCAATATATTCTGTAGAGAGTGATTCTCCTTTTTTGAAGACATCAAATAAGCAGAATAAATAATAATTTTGATTAGAATTAGATCAATAGAGAAATTCTGGACGATGAACAAAGGCACATAGAATTTTGTCTTATTGAAGGAGAAGCTAAAATTAAGCTCATCCTGTAAGTTTATCTTTCTCAGTTAAGATTGAGATGGGACTTTATCATATATGTCAATATTTAACATGTGCAATTTGTCCAGTTTCAAAGAATAGGTATTTCCAAATGTTTTTATTTTATGCTCAGTAAACCATTAAAGGAATGTCTTCATTTTTGGAAGCATCACGATCCCTAAGAATATATTTTGGTAAAATCCTTTTTAAATTTTATATAAACACCCAGGTTTTTCTCTATCTTGAAACATCCCAAACCAATAAGAAGATAGAATTGCTTTTACTACAGTGTGGTAACATCATCTATTCTCTGTAGGGTATCAGTTGGTTTTCTTTAGTTTTCTTTTTTTTGGTATCACTAGGTCTTGTACTCAGGTTCTCATGCTTGTTAGGAAAGCACTCTAATTCTTGAGACTTGGTCCCAGCCCTTTTGGCTTTAGTTGATTTTCAGATAAAGTCTGCTTTTGCCCAGACTGGGTTAAACCATAAACCTCACATTTCTTTCTCCTTCATTCCTGAGACTATGGGAGTGTAGCACCATACTTGTCTTGTTCTTCATATCAGTTCTCTCTAAGTTTCTTTTCCTGGGCTGGCCTTAGATTTCAATCCTCTAATCTCTGCCTCCCAGTACCTAGGATTGCATTTATGACAAACCATGTCTATCTCTTTTTTGTTCATTTTTTGAAATAAATCTTATTATTTACATTTAAGTACACAATCCTATGGTATGTGATTAGATGGATAGACAGATAAATAATAAAGGATTTACAAAGTGAAAAAATTGACATAGCCATCATATAACACAATTTTTTTGCTTTTGTGGTAAGAACATTGAAACCTTTTTCATTTACCATCAGTCTCCAATACAGTACAGTTTATTACCTGAAGCCCTAATGTTGTCTGTTATTCAAAGGATACAAAGTAGTAGATGCCAATGTCAGTTGATCAAGTTTAGAGATCTAATGTACAGTAAGCTTACTTTTCTAAATAAAAATATATTTTAGATCTTTTGTTACATATAATGCTATGACTTTTATGCTTATCAGATAATAGATGCAATGTATTAAAAAATTTTGTAACATCTTACCTAAAATATTTTCAAAATAATTGAAATTACTTGTTTGTACCTTCCTGATACAAATACTGTATCTTTCCCCAAAGGTAAACCCCATACTAAACATTTTGTTGATCATAATTAAAAATAGTTTAACTCTATAGTTTAATTCTTAAAATATATCATCTAGATATCCTTATTACTTATCTTTCTTAAAATTATTCCATATAGTGATGATTTCTGAATTTTTAGTTTTCCCAAATTGTTAACTTGCTAAGATTTAATCCTTTCCCTGGATGACCTTCATAGTGTCATTATTTCCTGTGAGTGTATTATTTCCAATATGAGTATACCACGGATTTTCTATGCATTTAACCATTGGACACCTGGGGTTTCTTACTTTTTTTTTCTTTCCTGTAATCTTGCTGTGGACATCTTGAATATTTATTTTGTGTTAATTAGGATGTTTATACTTTCCCTTGTACAGATGATTGCATTTTCCCATAATGCTTTGTTGTAAGTTACACTCCCACCACAGTGAATAACAGCTCCATTGCTCTACTACCTTACCAGCACTTGATATTGTGAGATGTCTGCTTTTTGTGAATGTCATTGGTATTAGAATGTTAGTTTATAGTGTTTTTGATTTTTCCTTATTGCTACTGAATTGAGCATATTCTCATGTTAACTGGACATCCAGTTTTTATAATTGTTTATGAATTGCCTATTCATTTCTTTTGCCAATTTTCCCATTATCACTGAATTACTGTAGTTCTTCAATCTATATACTAATTATTTATTCTTAAAGGTATTATACAGTCTTCTCTATATGTGTTCTTTGATATTATTGCAATTTATTTTGGTGAAAACAACTTCTAATTTAATTTTATTTTTTTTTCATTGATCAGTTGACCAAGACATTTGTATATCTATGATGTACATATGTTGCTTTAAAATACATATCATTATAGTGTGGTTAAATTGAGCTAATTTTCTTTTTTTTGTTGTTTTATTACTCATATGTGCATAGAAGGCTTGGGTCACTTCTCCCCCCTGCCTCCACTCCCTCCCTTACCACCCACTCTGCCCCCTACCTCTTGCCCCCACCCCCTAGCTCTCCCCCCAACCCCCTCAATACCTGGCAGAAACTATTTTGCCCTTACCTCTAATTTTGTTGAAGAGAGAGTATAAGCAATAATAGGAAGGAACAAGGGTTTTTGCTGGTTGAGATAAGGATAGCTATACAGGGCATTGACTCACATTAATTTCCTCTGCATGTATGTTACATTCTAGGTTAATTCTTTTTTGATCTAACTTTTTTTCTAGTTCCTGGTCCCCTTTTCCTATTAGCCTCAGTTGCTTTTAAGGTATCTGCTTTAGTTTCTCTGTGTTAAGGGCAACAAATGCTAGCTAATTTTTTAGGTGTCTTACCTATCCTCACCCCTCCCTTGTGTGCTCTTGCTCTTATCATGTGAAATTGAGCTAATTTTCAATGACATTACCTCTGTGTTCTTTTGTGGTGAGAACACTTCCATTCTGCTGTTTTAGCCATTTTTAATTGAATATTTGTTTCCTTCCTACTATAAAAATTGTTTTTTCTGTTGTCCTAAAAACATTTTTCAGCACATTTAAATAAATTCAACTTTCTTCCCTAATCTAGTATGCTATGTTCATTATATTTTCTATTCAAAATTAATGTATCTCTTTCTAAGATATCTTAACTTGATTAATTGAGTATTTCTAATTTAATATGCTATTAATAGTTTTAGGTCAGTTAAGTGCATTTTGATATATAATAAAAGACTTCTCATTCAATATTCTTTCTAAAAATACATTCTTCAACATTGGAATAATTTTAGAAGATTGCATAGATCTAGTAGAGAGGATTTTTGGTTGACAATGTATTAAATGTATGATTAATTTGGAAAAGAATCAGCATCTTCACCACATTGAACCATTCCATTGGGAAGTATGAAATATCTTTGTTTAGGTCTGTGTGATTTTTCACTAATTTTTTCTTGTTTTGTCTTCATCCTAACATATGTCTTACATTTTTGGTTTGAGTTTTATATTTTGTATTTTGGGTTACCTTAACTATGTAAATATAATTATATATAAAATAAACTATATTTTCCAAATTATTTAAGAAAATTTAACCTTGAATTCAGTCATTTCACTGGACTCCCACATTTAATATGAGAGATATCAAGTAACTTTTGGATTTGTAACTTCTTTGCTTAGTATTCTCTGTTAACTCTTCAGGGTCTGTTAAATGAATAATGATATCATCTGAAATAAGGATTTTTGTTTCCAATAATTTATTTCTAAAGTTTTATAATATATTCCCTAATTATATTATTGTACTAGTTAAAATTGGAAACATGGGCTCATGATTGGATAGAAAAAGTGCTGAGTTATTCTTAGCTTCTGTGGGGATGCCTACATTATTACCCTATAAATGTGTTCCTTTGAAATGGTTATCCTCACCTGTTTATCACCCTTGTGACAGAAGCTGATAGCACAATCAAAATAGCAATTAAAAACTACTTGCTAATTTTCCCCACTGACAATACAGTCACACTGCCACTAAGAACCACTTAATCTATACTCTGAGAAATATCCATATTCTGAGATGATAAAAGCCATGCAGAAGGTCTACCAAAGTTAAGCCAATCATTTGCCAAAAGAAGTGTATGTAAGTTGTTAGACACATATACTTAGGACCTAGAAGTCCTCTGAGGTTTTATGCTAACATCCTTTTTCTAAAGCACTCTGTATAAGTTTAATTTAGCAATAAATTACATGTCTGCACAATCATAGTTTCCCTTGTAAACATTTGCTCTATAACATATTATCAGTGCACCTGGGTAGGTATAATGCATGGGTGGTAGACAATCAATAAATAATGTGTGATGAATTTTAAGTGAAAATTTTCCACTTGTTTCAGAATATTTTTCTTTTTAAATTTTTACTTAAAATAATTAAACTAGAATTTAACTTTCATTAAATATATGTTGAATATTTTAAATCAATGCACTCATTTTATCATTGCAGTGTCTTGACTTTTTTAGATTACTGTCTTTCATTTTCACTCTTTTTAGCATACACATTAAATATGTAATACTGTGAAGACGATCTTCTTTATAATATTTTAGGTATACACATGACATTTTTAATATTAATGATTTTACTTTGTGAAATGTAAAATTATATTAAATATTGAAAATAAAACTCATACAAAATTATAAAAGTACAAAATAAATGTCTCCATTCCTACTAGTGTCTTCAATGTTACTGTCAGTTTTAGACACTATACTATTTTTAAAATACTTCATGTATTTCTTCCTTACAAATACATTCATATTTACACAAAAGCATGAGTGACTATTTTCTCTATAGGGAAGCTTGCATTTATTCCTCAGCATTCTGAAAAAAATCTACATATGATAGTTGTCTTGTATCTATCTCATTTTCAGTTTTCCTTTTACTGTTATACTCCCTTATTAAGATGTACTGAAATTGATATACTCCATGGTTTTCTACTTGTTCCCAGTCATTTTCTATGACATTGATTCCTGCAACAAACTCTTTGAATATGTCTAAATGTGAGTTCCTAGAAGCTATATTGTTTAGTCAATTCGTGTATAAACTTAAAATGTCTGTATTCATAATGGTTGCCAAAATGCCACCCATAAACTTTTGGGGAAATGCACTGCTTTCCACAGATC